TTCCGATTATTTTTAAATGTGTTCTCTTCTTATGGGGAAAGTACTTACTCTTATGACTGAATGTAACCAAATTATAAGCTAGAGTAATTATCTTTGTTTTGTTTTTTCAACTACCAACAATGTGTAAATATGGACCGACAATGGTCAACTTTTATATTATGAACTCCTGTGTGTATAACAATGCAAGAAAAAGTTTTAAAATTTCTAACCAACACCTGCAACAACCTGTTGGCTGAGCATGCCGTAAAGCTCTTTTCTCGTTTCTTATGCATGCAGTATAATTGTCTGAATGAACCGTATTGCACTCCATTCCTTTACCTAAGAAACTAATTGTTACGTCATCTGTTTACTCGGCATTGTTGTGTTTCATTATTGCCGTCAACAATCCGCTTTCGTTATTGTGGGAAAAGGTGAGCTGTGAATCGCTTGTAGAAGTGCGTCGTAGACTAGATAATTTCGTGCTGTTAAAAAAACTTTTAGAATATCACGAGTACTTATCTTATACTAGAATTACTAAGAAATCTGTGATACTGCCCTCCACTCTCTCCATTTTAGTTTTGATTAAATTGATTATTGCCTGCAGACATCGTGGTCTCTTACAATTGAACGAAGTTTGAGGTTAGAGATTCCTATTTATTATTGTTATTGTTCATCACATTTACGTGTTTTCATCTGCATTATTTAACTCGTGTAAGAGAATTAGGCTTGTCTTCTTTTTAACACAACTTCAAGTAATATTAGATTGACTTCTCTTTGTTTACGGCATCAATGATAGTAAAATAATATTCCAGTAGGCAATTAACATTTTACAATTTTAAAAGAATAAAACGTGATTCGTAGTCCAGAATCTTAATAAAAATATATGGATGTTAAGAAGTGGGGTTTATATTCTGAATAATAATTCTAACACTTTACATCTCTTGATACATCGGCATTATTGAAGCGTTTTAGGGAACTGTGAAGAATTCTTATTTCGGTTTTACAAGCCAAATTATCAACGAATCTCCCTGTTATTATCCCCTTACGACAGCAGATTGAATCCGGGGAATGCTTGCTATTATTGAGTGCAAAATATTTTGTCCTCCGATCTCATATCAAAAGAAAATTAAGATTAAAATGAACCAAAGCGTAATTGTGTCAGTTGTGCTGTGTGGGTGCAAAACGTGGTCTTTCACTTTGAGGGAGGAACATAGACTGAGGGTCTCTGAGAACAGTGTTTTGAGGAAGATATTTGGACCCAAAACGGGAGTGGGACAGATAATAGAGAAAAGTGCATGACCAGCTCCACGGTCTTTGCTCCTCACCCGATGTTGTTAGGGTGAGGTGGGCAGTAATTGGTTGGGAGGCCTGAAGGAAGGAGACCTCTGGGAAGAAATCGGTGTAGGTGGGAGGATATCATTAAGATGGACCAAGAACCTGAAAATTGAAGTATGCAAAACAGTAATTTTGCCTGTTGTTTTGTGTGGGTGCGAAACATGGTCTCTCACTCTGAGGGAGGAACACAGATTGCAGGTGTTTGAGAATAGGGTGTTGAGGAGGATATTTGGGCGTAGGAGAGAAGACGATGGGGTGTGGAGAAAACTACATGATGAGGAACTTAAAAATTTGTACTCCTCCCCCAGTATTGTCAGGGTGATTAAGTCGACAAGAATGAGATGGGCGGGGCATGTAGCACGCATAGATGAGACAAGAGGTAGCGCCGGTTTTGGTTGGGAAGCCTGAGGGGAAGAGATCTCAGGGGAGACCTAGACGCAGATGGAAGGATAATGTCAGGCGGGATCTATGGGAGACAGGAGTTGATGAAGACTGGATTTTGTTGGCCCAGGACAGAGTCCGGTGGAGGGCTTTGGTTAATTCGGTGATAAACCTTCGGGTTCGGTAAGCCATCTAGTTAGTTAGTTAGTAGGTTAGATGGCACCATCAGCCTGTGTCAGATTCCTCCATGAGGAGTGCCGTTTTTCATAATTATGCTTTTGTGCCTTCCCACACTTCCCAAGTTACTTTCTCTAAAGTGGTCTGTGTCAGTATTGGAGTACAGGCGTTATCTTTACCTTGAGCAGAGTCATGGAAGTTGCTTGTGATCGATGACACTGATGGTTCTAATGGTAATACTGTTCTTGTTCACATGGACATTGAAAATGTTTCCAGTGTTTGAAGATAAACACGAGTTCACTTGTGTGGAGTTGTACATTTTAACATGGTCATTTTTCAAGATCCTGTCTTTCTTCTAATGGGGATCTCCAGAAGACTTCATAATTATGTCTTGGGGTAAAGAATGGCAGCAAGTGATATGAAATATGAAACTGTCTTTGTGTAGTTATTTGGGGCTTACAATTCATGCACTATATATCAGTTATGGTTTCCATCTCACGAGTCAATCTTAATATGTCCTTTAATTTCGTATTGCTGTCCTGCCATGCTTGATAACTACCAAGGTGTATTTTATTAAGAAATATTATGTAATATAACAGGTAATTTTATATGCTAATATAAATTAATTTTTGCTTTCTTCATTATTTTTAGAACTTACTGACCTTTGGAATGGCAGACAACACTCCATTGGAGGTAAGATTTTGTTTGATTTTTAAGTAAAGGTTAAATAAAATTCAGTTACACGTTTATGAATGGAGTGATTGTACTTGGAATACAACTTTTATCTCACATTATTGTGGAACTGTTTCATTCTGTAATGCAGGGGTTTTCATGAGGAACTGATGCCTACTTAGCTGGTAAAACATTCCCTATGCTTTGTGGAAAGCAAAGGCTCATTACCTGCATTGGACCTTATCTGAAGCCATTTTTGAGACACTTGATGACCACTTTGTTATGAGCTTATTCACAACCTTATTTACAGTGCTACATGTAGCATAGAAAGGGTTAAATTAATTTTGTAGTGGAAGTACATTTGGCTAGTTCATCTGACCTATCTTCTTTGTTTAGCTACTAGATGACAAACATGATAATTGGATCAGAACTGTCTTTAAAAAATTAATTATGCATACGAGGATGTATTTGATTAACTGCTGACAACTTTCAGCTGTTTAAACTACAACACAACTTCGTTGGGTGTGGCAGTGTTGAAATTTTAATAGTGAAAGAACAAGAGATTGAGCCTTATACTATTTTAACTGAACTACCAAGCCACCTGTATATCTGATATGTTGAACTAACGCTGTTAGAAAGGGACATTGTATGTATAACTCTTGTTTACCTAAACAGATAGTCTCTCTTGTATGTTAATTTCTTTGAGTGTCCAGTTTGGAAAATGTTTACCACAGATTCTCACTTTTATCTGCAGAGAGTAAATGGTTTTGCAAGGGAGGCAAGACGGAAGAGTACAGAGGCATTGATCGCTGGAGAAGGGGGTTCAATGTAGGTGAAACCTTTTGTTTTAATTATCAGTGTATCAATATTTCTGGATGCAAGACTGTAATATTTATGTTTAAGTTTTGCAGTTGTACGGGTATTTTGATTCTGGAACAGCCAGTCTAACCTGGTCAGCAGAACACAAGATCCTCTGTACAATTGTTTGTCACAGAAAAATTGTTCTTTCTCTCTTATAACTTTATTGATTTTTTCTCCAGGAATGACGATGAAATGGAGTTACTAAGTCGACTAAGAGAAACCATTGTTAAAAACCCTGGGGTGGAGTGGTCACAAGTGGTTGGCCTGGAAGAGACCAAAAATGTTTTAATGGATGGAGTAATATTCCCCCAAAAGTTTCCAGAATTGTCCACTGGAAATCTAAAATCTTGGAGAGGGATATTGCTTTTTGGGGTAAGACTTTAAATATGCTGTCATGGCATAAGGACTTTGATGTCACTTTTTTCACAACAGACCAGCCCCTGAATGAATACACAGAATCGCATGCAGGGCGTACAGTTATGTAATTCTATCATTGGGTTGATTTGCTACAAACAGCAATAGAATGTTGTTTCTTAATGTCATGTTAGAAGATTATGTTTCCATGGCACGACATATTGTGTACTCTTTATTAGATAACACACTTAATGAAACGCGACCATCTACTGCAAATTTTGATACAAACACGGGTCTACATTAAGTGAAATTTCCAGCCAGTTACGTATGCAAAATAGCAAAGATTGCAATTGGAACGTAAATGTTCTCCAGTATGGTATACAGAATTGTTGGCTTTGTTACACATTCTGGTGTATTTAGATTGCAAAGTACCTGGTGGTGTTCTTTGCATAGTTTACAAACACTAGAAAGTTTGTGCAGTCTGTCATGGCGAACGTTTATCACATTAATCTTTTTTCAGCCCCCAGGAACAGGAAAGACACACTTAGCAAAGGCAGTTGCAACAGAGGCAAACAATTCCACATTTTTCGCAGTCTCATCATCAGACCTGGCATCCAAGTCGGTTGGAGAATCTGAGAAACCTGTCAGAATCCTGTTTGAACTGGCAAGAGAGCATAAACCAAGTATAATTTTCATCGATTATGTGGATTCACTTCTTTATTCACGCTCTTACAATGAATCTGATTCAGCTAGAAGAATCAAAGCTGAGTTTCTGGTTCAGATGGACGGTACAGTATTTTAAAACAATTCCTTTATACACAAATTGTGCACATTCAATGCCCATGTCCAGTAACCTCTGAGCCACCTGTAATTATGTTACCTTAATGTAAAATATTCTGTATTGTGACATTTGAAAGGTTTTATTTATTTATTTCTTCGTTAGATGTCAGTAGCTGATGGCTGTATAGAAAGCTGACATGACAAACAAAAATTAATTTAAACTTCAATAGAAAGGAAAATTTAAGAAACAAAAATTGGGTCGTCCAGCCCGTAGCTAGTCACTATACTGACTGAGCTATCCCGGCTCTACATTGCAAAATGAGCATTAATATTTTGAACAAAATCTTCTAGATAGATAGCACGTGATGTTGGTTTGAATATATTGCTTGTAATACAGCAAAGTGGCCGGCGGAGGCAGACACTGAGCGACTAGCTTGTGAGTGCTTTTGATAAAAGTGTAGACATCAGAAAGCGTTCCTTTACTTTGTAATTAACAGATGATCCTTAGTTCTGCAGATGATTGCATCAGTACGTAATTCAGAGAAGTGAACTGTAGTAGATGTCACCAAATTTCATGCTTCAAAGTCACAGCAGTCATGCAACGTTCCAACACAAACAGTGGAGCCTAGGCAAATAAAAGAGCTTAGAACTTGCGGCATAGTGAAGCTAACATTGTACTGGTGACTTAGAGACAGGTAGTGGAGGCGATGAAGCCCTTCCAAGACGTTGAAGCATGCGGTTTGGTCATGCCTGCTGTAGGACTCATATCCTTGAGGGGCTTTTATTGATTTATGAAGGGACAAATTCTTTTCCATTCTTCTCAGGTGTTCACTATGATAACGATGGCATACTAGTTTTAGGGGCTACTGATATCCCTTGGGCGTTAGATGCTGCTATTCTAACAATGTTTGAGAAGAGAATTTATATTCCTCTTCCTGAAGAGCAAGCCAGATTACAGATGTTCAAATTTTATTTGAGAAAAAATTCACACACTCTGGAAGACGAGCATTTCAAAACACTGGCCGAGAGGACAGAAGGGTAGGTATATTACTCGAGAATAAATTGGCATAATTGGTACAAGTACCAAAAGCACATCAGAGAGAGGTGGTCTGTATTAATCTTCCATAAGTCCTACTTGAAGCTCAAAAGGAACTTCAGATTTCTCAAAAATAACTCATCATACAAAGAAATGGTACTTTATAAAGTATACCTCTACTTAGAAAGTTACCTTAATTTAAAACAATTTTTGAATTTGTACATTTGATGCAATTCAAGAAAAATTGTTTATGCCTCTTGGCAGTATAATGTATGTTCAGTAATGGATCATAATGAAGTTTGCCGATCAGCTATAAACCACCTTATCATACTTTAGTTACAAAATGAAACAAGGAGATGGACAGACATACTTCTCTTTGTAACTTTCTGTAGAAGCAATTCCAGACCACTGTTCACTGAACATTTCTTACTCAGTTTTGATACTAAGCTCCCGTCTTGTGTGGCACTCCTAGACACAGTCTGTGTATTGAGGCATTGCAAGGGAAAGGAAAGGAAAGGAAAGGACACATTGGATAGGAGGTTGGGTGGGCCCCATAGCCAGTCTGGACGGGAAGGCTAGAGGAAACATCCTCTGCCCCCGTCGGGGATCAAACCCCGGTCATCCAGTCCGTAGCCAGTCACTATACTGACTGAACTACGCCAGCTATGGGAATACAATGTTTATTTAATTCAGTTTTTAATTTTAAAAAATTTTATGGCCATTGAGGCATGGAAATTGCTTTTCTGCTTTGCCACTTTTTTGTTAGATGTAAAAATTCTCATTTGTTTCAGTACAGACAAGTAACAAATATTAGGGTATGAAACGATATTTTAGCAATTTCAATTGGTCCATTGGATCAGTCACCTAATTGATTGTCTTCAAGAGGATGTACGTCTGAGTGAAATATAACATTTTTAATTAAATTAACTTCCCTGCATGCATGGCAGTGCAATTCCACAACCACTTCAAAGGCTTGCTGATAATTTCAAAAGAATGTGCAAGAAATTCCTTGTCTTAAGCCGTTTTTAAAACAAATTGATAACAAAATAACTTGGTATTTAGTGCTTCAAAATCAATGCTGCTGTGAAATGGAGAGCTGAAAATTTCATTTGTGGTCCATTGGTTACTGTATTTTCTTTGCCCTGCCAACTGACCACTGTGTTCCATCTTCTACTAATGTCAGGATCTAGAATGTTTGGAGGTTTATGAGCTCAACTGAAAGGTCAAAGTTAAACGCATCACTACACCAACATGTTCCGTGCTTGTGGTTGTATGTGCTTTCAACAGTAGGCAATTCATGAAGAAGAAGAAGAAGAAGAAGAAGAAGAAAGAAAGAAAGAAAAGACACACACACACTTAAGTATTGTTTGGCCCATTGTCATATGATTTCAGAACCAGGTATTTGTACCTGTTAGAAATCCACTGTATACACTTGCATCTTTTCGTCACAGGTATTCTGGTGCTGATATTAGTATTGTTGTACGAGATGCATTGATGCAGCCTATAACAGAAATGACAACTGCGACTCACTTTCGGCCTGTCACCGAGTCATCCGATAAACATTCTAGTGTCAGTGGGGAGAACCTCCTTACACCTTGCTCAACAGAATACCCTGGGGCTGTTGAAATGTGTTGGAAAGATGTGGAAGATGGAAAGCTGTTTGACCCACCAATCACAATGGTGAGTGTATCTGGTGTTGACAGCTTCAGTGTTGGAGTTCTGGTAAACGACACAGCAGATGTCATGAGGGGAGGGGGATTGAAACTGAATAATCACATCAGTTAATGATCTGTTTTGATTCCAATTTAATAAAAGGAATGAAAATATTATTAGAATCTTGTAAAGAAACAAGCTAGAGACACCATCAGAAAATAGAACAAAATCATAATAAAGAATAGCTACTAAATCCTTCAAAAGTGTGATGAAGATCGAATTCAATGGAACCCCACGTTTACTCTTTTCCAGGGATTAATAAAAAATGGTATAACTGGGAAATGTTAGGAAAAGCAAAAATATCAAGCTTTGTACGTAACCTCAATACCCAACAAAAATGTAGGTAAATTATTAGGCAATGTAGGGCCATTTTTACAACATATATAATTCCCAGAAACAGGAGGAATATATTTACTTCTTAAAAATATAATCTGACATTTTGCTTTGTTGCCCTCCTCCATGAATGTATTTTTCCCCTATTGTATTCAGAGTTGATATTGATCGCCCAAGTTTTTTGTTTGTTGCCATAATTTCTTATTGAACCAGAATATATAAATATAACTGCAGTTCAAGTAGCAGGTACAGCTCGAATAATGGCCAACTTGCAAATAGCGACATTTGAAACAAAAATGATGCAAGATGGTGACTAACTCATCACAGGAGCCAGTGGTCGAGAATAGAAGTAGGCCAGTCACAACAAAGGTGGTACAAAACCTTATAAATTCAAATCATATTATATATTTTGTACAATATAAAACAATTGGAATGGTGGGGAAACTAACTGGGCTAAAAATAATAATGAAGTCAAACATGAATACAAAGTAGGATTCAAGATTCTCACAGCAGTGAGTCTAAAGGGATGAAGTGACAAAGGATTGGAGAAAAGTACTTAATGAGAGATTCATAATTCATACTCTTCATGTACTGTTGTTAAGGTTATTAAATTAAGAAATTCAAGGTGGTTGTCACATATAACATGCATGAGGGGAATAAGAGAATTAGGGTGTGAAGGTATGGATTGGATTCAAGTGGCATATGGCATGATCCATTTATGGTCCTTGTAGCACAGGCCTTCTTGAGAAGGTAGTAAAAGTCCCTTTACTAGTCACATGCTGGCATATGGAACCCACAAATTTATTACAGTGTTCATAAAAGGTTGCCACTGGACTCTGAGTCCATTTCATGAAGAGCCTTCTTAATATTGTCTTCCCATCTATGTGTATGTCTCTCAAATTCTCTTCCCTTCTAATTACCCTACCATCTCCTGTGTATGGTACACATCCCACCCATCTCATCCTCCTTGGTTTGATCGCCCTAATAATACACAGCAAAGAGTAATGTTGTTGCACTGTTTCCATAAAAGCAGTGGTATGTTCTGAATGTTGGACAGACCATAGCAAGTCCTATTACTATAGTGCTTCCCTAACATAGCTTTGCTTTGTTAACAGGAACACATGATGCTGGCACTTGCCACTTCAAAACCAAGAGTGGATGATGAATACATGGCAAAACTAAATAAATTTGCAGAAGATTTTGGTCAGTGGGGATAACTTCGATACAACTACTATTTTCTCTTGTATAATACTTTAAAAGTTTTGGCGATGGTACCCCTTTCAAAATTTTTGCAAAAATTTAAAAATGATTATAAATGTCATGAAAAGCGAAAATAACTAAAACTTTTCGAAATAAACAAAATTGAATTCGGAATATTTAAAAAAAAGTTTAGTTTTTGCGCGTTTTAGACAGTTACCTATTTTTTTCCCTTCTTCTTCCCCAAAATACTCCCCACCAGTTCCATGCGAGAACCGGTCTCTGCCGTACCCTGACTGTGACAGACTCGTTCTCTGCGGACTCGGTGTATGCACGATACGGTCTCTATGACCCGGTCTCTGACGGTCCGTCTCTGAAACGACCGGGTCCAACAGGTAGCGGGTGAGATATAGACCGCGTGAGGCAGAGATCGAGTCCGGCAGAGAACGGATCTGGTAGGGATTGGGTTGGGAAATTTTTAAAAAATGCTGGAAATTGTCCAAAAAGCGCACAAAACCAAAAATTTTCGAAGATTTTTAAAAAAAATTGAAGATTTTTTTAGTTCTGTGAGCTTTATATAAAATTTACAGCATTTTTTATTTTTTTGAGAAATTTTGAATTTTTTTTAAAAATACTCCCCACCTCGTTCCCTACAAGAACCGGTCTCTGCCGGATTTTGTCTCTGCCAGACTCGGTCTTACACGATCTGGTCTCCGACCTGTGGTCTCTGCAAAGGCCACGACAGGCAGAGAACGGGTGGAACAGAGAACGAGTCTGGGGTAAACCGTGTGTGCCAGAGATCGGGTACGGCAGAGAACGGTTGTGGTAGGAATCGGGTTGGGAAAATTTTGAAAAAGATTTCCAAAATATGCTGGATATTGTCCAAAAAGCGCACAAAATCAAAATTTTGCGAAATATTTGATTTTTTTTTTTGAAGTTGAAATTCTCACGATCTCAGTTTTATGTTTGATTTCAAGAAATACTGTCTGAGTAGCAAGACGGTAACGCAGTTGACACTTTAATATGCACAGTTCTCATGCTATATGATGTGAGATCCTTGACAGAATAATGATGTAGTGAAAACAGATGAAGAACATCCCATTCAAATGTCATGACACCATGTAGCATGTACAATTATAATTGATGAGTATAACATATCCTTATTTTTGTACTATAAAATTAAAATATCAATGCAGTTAGTGAATTGTTCAATGATAACACTATTTAAATCAAACTGCATATTACTGACAAAAAATTTTAGCTCTCAGTTTGAAATTGTGTATGATAATAACATCCTACAGTGTACAAGAAACAAAAAGAGCCACTTCCTTTCTATTTTTAAATACAGGTAGCCCTCGATTTGCGCCGATTCAGAATAACGCCGCATTTGAAACTAGAAAGTCAAAAGATGAAAAAAATATATTTTACTATTATTTATAACGTTTTACAATGTATCTCGTGGTGCTTCTTATACTAAATCGTAATTCTTACATCGCTGATTTTGAATAAAAATTATAACTACAGTCATCTCTGCAATTACAATTATGTTTCGTTAACGCGAATTTGCTCCTATGAGATCGATGAATCGGTAAAAGCTGTTTGTGAAATGCAAATTTTTGCAAATGCGAGTTTGCTCTTATGCAAGTTCATTCCTGGCGCTTTAAAATTTCAAAGGGCTAATTTAATCTCTGCGGAGGTACCGGGGTTCTCTTTACTATGCGATTTTCTATAGCTCGGCGTCTGACATGAATGCAACTATCGCATAACAGCAGAGATGACTGTACACATCAATGACATGAAATAATCGGAGTCAATCGCGGGGACCAACAATTTGCCTGTTGAAACTGTTTAAAATATATTTTTTAAATTCCCTTTATTTTATTTACGTTATTTCAGAGCTTTAAATGTAATGCCATTATATTACTCGTCAATGTTTGGGTGCCGGGAACGCATGTCATTGACTTCCCATTGATTTACATTATAAAACGAGTTTAAATTTATGCCGGTTCGTCCAGGAACGCATCCCCGGCGTAAATCGAGGGCCACCTGTATATGTTTCATGTATTCCATGCACCCCAATTTTAAAAATGAATAATTTTGAACTGCTTGTATAAAGTAAATATGTGAACTTTAAACTGTGAAAATGATACAGCACGCAAATTGCGGCTTACTTAGAACTTCACACCCACACTAGCCAATAGACAATAATCTGAGGTAGACTGTCACATGTTCTGCAGATTTATCCATCTGTATATGACACTGTTGGCTACGCAGCCATGGTTCTGTGGTAAAATAAAATGTTCTCGCTTCCCTACCTTTCGGTGGGACTGGTGTTTGTTCCTTGTTCTTACAGCAACCAGCAGATGGTGAAGAACTTCACACCCACACTAGCCAATAGAAAAACCAATTATTTAAATCAGAACATTTTCCTATCCACTTTTTTCATCTATTTTGCTTTGTATCTTTCAACTTTTGTCCACCATGTTTTCAGGCTAGTCTATCTGCTTCCCCTACCTCTTTCCCAGTTGTTTTTACTACCATGTCTTTTGTTTCACTTCCCCAGATTTTTAACATTACCTTTGCATTTATTTCCAATCTGTATCACTCGCTTTTCTCAGATTAGACTTCTCACAAGGACCTTCACATCTATAGACACAAATGCTTCTAAATCCATTTAACTTTTTTTCCCTGATTTTGTTAGACTTCATTCATTATAAATTATAATTTTTAAGAATAAAGACAAGTATGTGATCATGTCTCAACATCAGAATTCAGGACAGAACCAGAATATAAGGATAGCTAATTAATTGTTTGAAAATGTGACAAAATTCAAATACTTCGGAACGACACTAACAAATCAGAATGACATTCAACTGACGAAATCAAGAGGAGATTAAATCCAGGGAATGCTTGCTATCATTCAGTTAAAATGTTTGTCCTCCCATCTCACATTAAAAAATAAAAATTAAAATACACAAAAGTGTAATTTTGACGGTTATCCTGTATGGGTGTGAAACTTGGTCTTTCACTTCGAGGGAGGAACATAGATCGAGGGTCTTTGAGAACAGTGTGTTGAGGAAGATATCTGGACCTAAAACGTAGAGACAGGAGACCGCTGGAAAGACCAAGGTGTAGGTGGGAGGATAACGTTAAGACGAACCTTAGGGAGATAGGAATTCCTGGAACAAAGTGGATACAGTTAGCTAAGAATACAGTCCGGTGGTGGGTTTCTGTGGACACACTGATGAACCTTCGGATTCCATAAAGAAAGTGGGCTATTGTCTGGCAGGCCGAGTATACAATCGACTTTTCGAAGAATTTCCTGCACCACAGAGTGAGTGGTAACATTAAAAAATATTATTGTTAAAATACACTTTCTTGTCTGACTCCTAACCTGGTCTTAAACCACTGTAACCATTCCATATTTGTCTTAAAACAATTTTTATTTAGTTTGTATGTATTTTTTACTTTTCTCAAAAGAACTGTTGAGACCTATTTCTTTCTAGATTTTTCAAAACCCATTCTCTTCACACACTGTGAGCACTATTTTACAGCCCACAAATATCATCACTAATCACAGTCAAATTGTTCCTGGACTGTCTTTACAATGCTGCATTCAATAAACGCAATAAGATGAGCTGTTGTAAGTTTGCAATTTTCAACCTGCATGTTCATGTAAACAGAAGTTTGTTTATCATTCAGTACACGTGCACTGCTGTGTGAGAACACACCTGCACACCTCTCAATTCTTGTTCAATAATCGCTTGCTAAACACAAAACTAACAAAAACCTACAGATGTCCGTAGTAACAAATGCACATTTTCACTGATTTAAGGAGAATTGCCAATAACTCGGAATATATAGTGAAAGATAGAGTTGTCTCTGCATAAGCATCACAACACGGACGCGTACAGATGGTCTGTAGGTAAATTTCCATCCATTTAAAAGAGATTAAGTTACAAGTCAAATAGCAATGCGATTACAAGAATGTTAAAAGTTGTTGCACTTTTATAATTAAGCAATTCGCTGTGCGACCCCTAGCAATTAGACCCCATCACCATATATGTCACTTGCAAACACATTACTGATCCCCCCCCCCCCCTC